TTAGACCTGGCCGTGGATGTATCGACCAAATATTCACACTGCGCCAGGTCCTGGAACATAGGCATGCTTACAGACGCCCGACAATAGCTGTATTTCTCGACCTGAAGGCGGCATTTGACTCCGTTGATCGAGAAGTCTTATGGCAGTGTCTGTCACTGAAAGGCGTGCCTAGTAAGTACATCACCTTATTGAAAGCTCTCTACTCGAACACTTGTGGGCATGTTAGAGCCTATGGTGAGTTGTCCAGGGAGCTATACTCATCAAGTGGTGTCCGTCAAGGATGCCCACTATCCCCATTCTTATTTAATTTTATCATAGATATTCTTATGGAGGTTTCCCTCTCGTCACCTAATTACAAAGACGTTGACCCGATCACAGGTGAATTTTCCTTAGATCTAGAATATGCAGATGACATAGTCCTGTTAGGTGAAGACGCTGACAAGATGCAGAGTCTTCTGAACACTTTGAGTGGGAATTTGAGAATGTTTGGGATGCGATTTTCACCACCCAAATGCAAATTTTTGCTCCAGGACTGGTCTTCAGCGGTACCGCGGTTAACAATAGAGAGTGAAGTGGTTGAGTGTGTTGACCACTTCACTTACCTGGGAAGTAGGATCAACCCGGTGGGTTAGTTGCCGATGAGATTTCTGCACGGATACAAAAGGCTCGATTGGCTTTTGCCAATTTGCGCCACCTATGGCGCCGCCGTGATATTCGTTTGTCTATTAAGGGTCGCGTGTACTGCACAGCAGTCCGCTCTGTTCTACTGTATGGCTGTGAAACATGGCCATTGAAAGTGGAGATACAAAAAGGGTTCAGGTATTTGACCACCGTTGCCTTCGTAGTATAGGACGTATTCCGTGGTGTCACCATGTGAGTAATGCAGAAGTTAGGTGTAGAGTTTTAGGGAGAAGAGGTAAGTCAGTCGACGAGGTTGTGAACCTTCATCGACTGAGATGGTTGGGACACGTACTACGTATGCCTAGTCACCGATTGCCTCGTCACACAATGTTGGCTGAGGTGGGTTCAGGCTGGAAAAAGGCCCGAGGTGGCCAGACTAAAACATGGCACCAATGTATGAAGTCTCTGACTGTTGGTTTAAGCCATGTAGGACGATGCAGACTAGGTGGTTGGGGTCCACGGGACAAGAGGAACCAGTGGTTGGAGACCCTAGGTGATATGGCTCAGAACCGAAGTCAGTGGCGCAGATGTATACACACATTATCCTCATCTTAACAACGCTATACCGAATCTCACTATTTTGTCACTCCTCTTTCCTTTCTTCTCGTACTTTATATTTCTTTTGACTGCATTCACTTATCTTCATCCTTCACCTCACTACCTTTTTACTTGATGTGCTGATATGAGGTGTGGCAACTCGGACCGTTACGCAGTAATGCCTGGTCCTATGTTGATAATGATAATGATGATGATGATGGATCATGCAGCAAACAGTGAGGAGTGAAAAGATGGACATACACTGGCTGCACAGATGAAAAGAGCCTGGAAGATCTGGATTTCGCCGATGATTTATATCTGTCTTGAAGCACAAACTCGAAGATCTACAGGCGAAAACTTACAAGTTGACAGAACAGGCAAGGCTGTGGAAACGGGACTTCAAGTGAATGTGGAGAAGACAGAGGTAGAGGTGATGAAGATACCCAACCAACACTATCACCACCACCACACAACAACAACAACAACAAGAGACACTAATCACCACTAACGGGACAAACCTAAAAGAAGTTGTCTCTTTCACCTATCTACCTACCCACCTACCTAGGCAGCATCGTTTCAACTACAGGCGGCGGCACAGATAAGGATGTTAAAACTACTATCGGAAAAGCAAGACAGGCTTTTGTCAATCTGAAATAATCAGTGTGGAGATCTACTGCACTCAGCATAAAGCGCAAACAAAATCCGGATTTTCAACACCAACGTCAAGTCAGTGCTTCTATATGGTTCAGAAACTTGGCGCGTCACGAAAAGCACTTCCAACAAACCGAAGACATTCATCAACAGCTGCCATCTACACTCACTCGATACTGAAGATCAGATGGCCAGAATAATAAGAATAAGCAACAAGGAACTCTGGCCTACCAACAACCTAGTGCCCAACAGATATGCAGAAGAGAGTGGAGCTGGATTGGGCATACACTGAGAAGGCCGATTGGGGACATCACGTTCCAGGCCAGGCTGTCGAGTGGAATCCAAAGGGGAAACGATGAGTTTGGCGTCCTAGGCGAGGGTGACATGGAGGAGATGATGTGAGGAAGAAATGAAAGCTTGTGGGTAGTCGTGGAACGATGTTCAGAGGACTGGCAAGAAGAGAGTGGAATGGAGGTGTGCTACTGAAGCCCTATGTTCCACTAGGAACCCAAGGAAGAATAAAATCAAATATAAATATAATTTTTTTTATTTCTAATCAATACCTGCTACTTTGAGTGGTAGTTGAACTTATTTGTCACAATGATACAGTCATATTTTACTAGATGGTATTATGCTGAACGCTACTTTTAAGAATTTATATCAGTAGAACAAAGTACTAAGTAGGAAAGAAAGAGGTGATAGCGATCGACTAGTGAAGATTTGGCAGAGACGACACATCGACTAGAAATATAGATGGCAAGAACACTGTACACTAGGAGGACGAAAAGGAGAATATTTGTTAGTGGCTTTAATGTAGGCTTCGGTACATGTATCATTACCGACTGTAATGTTCCAAAAAACAATCTTTGCTGTTCCACAAGACGTTTCCATATCGCATTACTGAAGCAAATAACCTCGTAGTTTAGTTCAAATAGTTACACTTCATGGAATTTTAAGGAAAAAGTACTGGAAAGTATGGCAATTAAGATCTCCTTTCAACGTTATCAGAAATCGATTATGCCAACAATTTAAAAATTGATCCCAAAATGTATGCAACACATCGTTGCCTAGATTTTGTGGCTAGTAGTATAACCTTTTAACATAGCATGAGACTAGAAATTACTGCATCTAAAGCGTTTGGCTGGCCTTAAGCAATGTCTCTTGAGTTCTGCGGCAACCAAAAACAACCATCCCATTTCTTTTCCTAATAAATATCAAGATATCTTCACTGTTGGAAGACTAGTAAACTGTAAAATCTAGTGTTAGTATTTTTAACTGTTTTCATCTGCATGAAAACAAGAGGAATATACACCGTCATTGTATCCACCCGTCTACTGACACTATCGCTGCTTATGCAATGTTCACTAAAAATTAGTTGTAAATCATCTCATTTCAGTTGTCTACTAATTCACAATATCAGTTCAGCACTGAGACGTTTAAATCCTCCGTTTTCACCTGTATGATGAAACTAATTCATGTAATTGAAGATTTCCTTAACTACTAATTACCTCAATATTATTCGCAGTAGTAATAATGCTCCGTTTCAAATACATCTACATGAACAAAGTTATGAATCACAGGCATGAAGATTAAAAATACAGCGCAATTATCTAAGCAGACAGAATACTGGATTTCACTCAGTAGATAAAGTTACTTCTTAAAACAAAGAGGCAGAGAGATACAAGTCGACTTTGAATCTGGCACGCAAGCGCACTAATTTCAGTTACAACATCTCACATCAAAAAGGAAAGGGTGGAGAGGAAAAGAGATACTTAAGTAAACAAAAGTTCATCATCATCATCATCAACATAGGACCAGGACAAAAGTTCATGCGATAGAATATACAGATGAAGGCTAATGAGAATACTTAACACTTCGAAGATGACAGGAAATGCACACATCCGCAACACTGTGATGGATTTTGAACTATTTTACCGAATCTCCAAACATTAACGAGTCATGTGGCGTTCTCGCTTGACCACCTCTTGAAAAATAATAACGGAGACCAAACGCACTCAGCCCCCTTGTCCACACCCGTACAGTAGGCAATGAGCCATACCTACTATATGAGGGCTAGTGATCCCACCTGGATGACCAAACATGGACAGGTGGAGCGGGGCTCGGACCCGTGACCCAGTGGTTGATAATCATCTCCCTAAACCAACAGACCACGGCTCCACGGGATTTACAGTGAAATGCAACCTCGGGTCCCACGTAAGCAAGGTGAACTAGTGAGACATTGATGGTAAAAGTTAGCGACTAATATATCTTATTTGTGATTCACTGATACCCACTCTAAAAGGGTTTTTATGTACCCAGCTTCAAACTGGTGGTAAACCAGAAAATGATTCCGTCTACCTTTGTAAAATCAATCATTCAATAAAAACAGCAGATTTTCTAAAGTCGCAATAGATCCCTTGTGACATCCACGGTAAAGCGCAGTGCGACAATACAGAAAAGACTAAGAAAGGTTGTTCTCGATACCTCAAGTAACCCTTCTGTATCGGCTTCAAAATTTTAGGTGTAGAATCTACCTCAACAGAATTGTTTGTACTTACAATGAGGAATATGAATTATCCCAGCCATTACTGGCTTGGAAGCACTTTGCAAACTTGGGGCATCATATTAAACATACTTTGGGCATGCTTACAAACTTCGGACTAGCCTCCCCCATCCAGATCCGTTATTTTCCACTAAACCTTGAATCAGAAAGATTTTTAAATATGCAGACGCAACATACTGCAAAAATCGAATGCTGCGTCGAAGAATATTTGGGAGTAACGCTTAATAAGTGGAGGTAAAGTAACTTTGTATAAAACTCAGGTCCACTGTTAACTAAAAGAAATTAGAGACCTTCACCTCACGAGAAAATCGTGGGCTTTTCGAAGAAGTCAATGAACAACTCTATATACTTCTTGATATTATACTGATGGTTTCGTCGAAGATTGGATTCAAACTGTGCTGCAAGTGAATGCTATAGCATGAGGTTTCTCCGGAGTAGCAAATCAACGTTTTAGCTTAAATAATTAGATCTGTTCTGCACAGTTTATTTTAGGTTTTAAAGTATGAATCCTATTTTTTAAATCAAACTTTGTGATATGAAGAAGTATACGAAAATTACTACAACTCACTTTGATAAGACGCCCAAGAGCAGATATTAGATCAGCCCATTCTGTAGAGTATTCAAAGCCTTTTAAAGACTTGTCGACCAGTGCGACAAACCCTTTGTATTTAGCATCCTTCAATAAATCCGAACTGTCCATATGACCTTCACATTCAAAATCGTCAAACCAAACAAGTGCTAATACTTCGAAAGAAGGGCTAGATTGAAGGGGTTGAAAAAGGACCAACACAACTTTTATTTGTTGCGAATTCACACCATAATGTTAGCATTAAAAGTCTTTTTGTCAGTCATTCGCGTTCACAGAACTGATGATGAGAAAATGTTAAGTATCTACAAATAATCATATGAAAAATTTTATTTCCATACGATTAGGGAGTACGAAGCGGATACAGTTGCTACATGAAAACCACTATGAAGAAATCCTTCAATTTCATATGCCAAGAAGCTCTAGACAAACAAACAAACATTGGGCTGTTGCACACAGCTTAATTGTCAACAAAATGTCTTATAAGCTATAAGTACGATCTTGACAGAAGAGTGTGCTGACAGCCAGTTAGTTTGACAAGTTTCACAAGTCAATAATGGCTGCAGAAAGCTTCCACTTGCTAGCTGTCCCATAAAATCTGGATCCTTGTGTGGGTCGAGTCACCTCTTCCGATGGTGTTCGAACTTCCAGAATTTCTGCATTGACCCATACATGAGTCTGGTCTTTCCCTTGAAACCATTACCAGCAGGAACTGAGACGACACTGCTCATGATGTAATCCCAAATTTTCGGGGCTCTGATTGAGATGCCTTCGAGGTTTCCATTGAGGCTCTACGAGTCTGTCGGGGTGGCTCACCTTTATTAGACTGCATACAGCGTCTAGAGATGCTTAACACAAAACTTGGGATTGTAATGTTAACTATATTCATGGCAGAATACACTTAACACTTCTGTTATCTCATCACATGTGGTGCTGTAGAAACCCCATACCCTCTTTATCACTTTCTTTTAAACGTTATCTTTCATGAGCTTGTATTTTATTCGGCGACATAGGTACGCAGTCGTTCCATGTTCTGGACGTGAGTGGATATACGTATTGCATAGGATCGTAAAACTTTCTCTGGTGAATCTACCGAATACTCTGTGGAGCATCACCAACAAGTGGTTGGATGTCTTGGCAGCTATAAACATGCAGATAGAGCAGGTGAGTTTGGCAGCCACCGAAACTCTCAGGTCACGCTTTTAAGTATCAATTGAGAATACATTGCCTCCATCAGTTCTCTGAAATATCTGAACAACACTTAACACTACTGAAACGATGATAATCACTTGGCTGCTTGTGGTGTATTAACGTTGCCGATTTTTCTTCAAATTTTCAGGTCATATGGAAAAATCGCCGGTGGAAATCCAAGAATCTTGAGCAGTCAAGAGTGTGGTTAGCTTCGTGGTACGGCTTCCACATGACGGCCCTGAAGTGAGCAGCAGTCGTTAACGTTTACCATCAAGCAATGTTTCACCAAGTGCAAGCCTAGACAGGTTGAAAGTTTTCCGTAGACACCAGTGGCTCTCGCTCTAAAGATTAATGGTGGTGACCGACCTTACCAAAAGCCCTTGTTGATGTCAAAATTGACTACATTTCCCGACCTAACAGCTCACCAACACCGCACGCAGAATTTTGGTGGTGGTCTGGAAACGCCACCAATATCTTGGAAGTGAAAGCCAAATCCGACCTTCCTAATTCCATGGCTGTTCGGAGAGAAAACGAGCCGGAAATGTTGGGATAGTATGTTTGCTTAAGTTGCATAGATGATCATCACTTGCTGCATCAAGTCAGAACTATTTTTATTTTGTGGGGGGCAAAAAATATAGATCAGACTTTTGGTGGATCGCTGAAGAGTTACAATTTACACTGGCCATTATTTCGTAACTGCGTTAAGGGCAACACCCATCACTCCAAATAAGTAGAAGAATCCCTGTAGGTTTCGTAGTGTGGGGCCCCGAAATAAATATGTAGGGTTGCACGGATATTGTTTTCGCGAGGATTCGAAGCCCTGTGGTCGAGTAAGGAGAGAAAGCTCATCCTGTCTTCCAAAATCCAGATTCAGCTTCTCTTCGTAGCTAGCGCTTTTGCCAGTGAGGGCACAATTTGTTCGTGATCCCTCCACCGGTGGTTGAGCTATACTACTGGCCACTACCGGGTAGAAAGCGTCTTTGTGCGGAAACACATGTAAACGAAACATTCAGGGAGCCATACTGAATAGAATGATGCGAACCGTGAATGGGCTAGGAGGACCTAGATATCTAAGTGACTGCACCCCAAGATTTATTGTCGTTAATACCTCAAATGTATCGTATTGGATCACAGTGCTAGCAAAGCCGCGGCAGTCCTGCGGGTTACGACCGATATGAACCCTTCGAAAACTAATGATGAACGTCTCCGATCCAGAACAACATCAGAGGACAGCTCTTGAGTTTGCATCACAAGATTTACTTTCATAGTTCTCTCGAAATTATTCATAACTACAATAACGTTAGCACGTACGTGATCACTAAGAGGTTACGTGTTAAAAGCGTGTGACTTAGGTTCCTCGGTTTGTAAATTTCGCACCTTAGAAAAAATAACAACATGGTTCCATGCTCCGTTCTGTTTCCGTTTGTTACTCTCCAATGAACAACACTGCTGTGACCCCCGACGATTATAGCGCAACTAGGCCGAACATGACGGCAGCTACCCAACGACTTCGCTGTGTGATGGTCACGCCATATCGTGAACTGACAAACCGTGTCTCTGTCTGCAGTATGCACCATTCCCACACCACCAAAGAGAAAGACCTGGGACTAGCACTGGATGACGAGCTAGAAACCTGCTTTAACTACCCACCAGATACGTCTATGACATCTACCTCTGCTTTACATACGGTAAACCTTTCTTGTTTGCTGATGACCTAAAAGTTGCATATACATTCACCCCTGAAGATTTATCCCACTCCCAAACACTAATACAAAGGGAGCTCGATATAATCCCACACGGTCTGCAGGTTTGGAAACTTTAGTTCAATATAGGCAGATGTGGCTGGACACGTTATGGTGCTCCATAGGTGAATATCCATCTTCAGCCTACGATACTACCTGTCCTTAAAAGTGTATGTAACCTTGGACTACGATATTCAAGGGGCCTCACATTTCCTGAACTAGTAACATCGCAGACTCACAAATCTAGGATCCCAATGGTTGCATAGCTCGTGACGTTCACTTCAAAGAAGTCAGGTTACTAACCTATGAAACTTGAGTACGTCCACTATTATAATACTGTCCATTTATATTGAGTGGTATCCGCATAAAAGACAAACAAAAAAGAGGGTGTTTAAAGGTATTTCACAGCTAGATTACTAAGACACGATTGCGAACAAGACTATAGCTCCGGGTGTGGAACACTAGGTCTAGATACACTGGATGAAACAACTCAAAATCAACCTGACACCCTTTAATGTGTTACATAAACTCACTTTTACAGCCAGCGGTGAGTGTTAGTTTGAACAAAACTGTTGTTACGATCTGCGCAACCACGTCCATAGCGTCAAAATGAAGTCGTTCAAGTCCTGCCTGCGCGCAAACTTCTTTGTCGTCAAATTCTCCTAGTTGTGGAACAGACTTCCTGTTAAAGGCCTCCAAATCAACTTCTGAATTTGGTCAGTTACCAGCTAACTTCTTACCCTCTGGTTACTTCTCCGGCTTGCCAAGTACACCAGCAGTATCCTTTATGACATTTCGTATGCTCGGCCTTCTTAATGTATAATGAGACATCCACCACACCTACACTAGCATTTCACACGAGGCGTTGAGGAAACTTCCATAAGTTATCACCTCAAACTGACGGCAAATTCTGCCCCACCCAAAACACAGTGATCAAAAATAGAAATTCTATACTACATGACAGCATGAAATTTATATTTTTAAGTACTCCACCGAAAAAGCACATACAGTGAATGCCATAACAAGGGAAGTTAAGTAGGGAGAAACATGAACATAGAAAACACTCTCCTTGTTGAAATTCTTGCTTTCTCCGCTGCTTTGTCTGTTTTTTCTCGTTATAGAAAAATAATTCAGTTCTAAACGTTGGCTTGGTTGCCAGCGAGAATTAATTACTTAAGGAACAGACCATGGCTGAAACTACCCTTCATGGAGGGTAACCAGCTTTACCAAGTTCAGAATACCTAACTACAACAAGCAGAAATAAAAAATGTTCACTGGACTACAACTTCCTAATTACCAAAATCTAGGATTAACTCATTGTAAAAGTGATCAGCAAAGTCCAACACTTACCAACTGCAAGGCGCATTCAAACGAATCTATTGCTTCTAGATGCCGGAGTTGGAAAAGCGAAGATATTTGACTTTTAGTTATAATATTCATCAAGATTATGAATCTTTGTTGTGGAACGGTATTAACATGGATGAATTATACAGTCCAGAAATCGTCAATGAAGCGCAATAGGTAAACAATTCGTGCCTGCATTCCTCCATAAACTTTTCACCATTATCTCAAGCAAAAAGTACAAACTGTCACAATGGAAGTACCAGCTTCAAGCTTTATTCTTCTCCAGGGAATACACGTAATGTCTGGATACGAACCTGGTTTTTGTTAATGCGAAGACAATACTTCCATTTGTTTAACGTGTAAATTTTTGCACACTTACTGTGTTGGGATGTTTCATTACATGAACATGCGGCACTTATATTTTCTAGTGACAACGGGTGGGGATTGAGATTACCTTCCATGAAGATGCAGGTAATTTGCGTATAAACTTATTCATACCTGTAAAAATGGTGTGCGCCTGTATGTTAAGGAATAAATATTACCATTATTATCATCATTATTACTATTATTATTGTTATCATTTAAACCCACGAAGTTCTGCACTTCGTGCTTAGACGAACAGGTGCCCCGCCCCGAACCTCTTCCCGAAGCCCCGCGATGCCCACGTAAGACCTCTTTTGGGGGTCCACAGCGTTATTGTACAGCCCCGGCTGAAGAAAAATGTGAGCTTCCTGGGGAAAGTCCAGGGGCGAGCAGTGAGAGGCATTGTAGGAGTGTTGCGAAAACCCCATGGGGACTGAATGAAAGTCCTGCGGCTTTACTTTGTTAAATACCTCA